TGGCGTGCCCCTGGGCCTGCCCGCCCCACAGCTGCCGAGCCGAGCCGGGCCGACTCACCCGCTCCGGCGGCAGCCGCGCTCCCTTTGTTCCCCACCAGGCCGAGGCGGCGGTGAGGAGGAGGCGGAGGAGGAGGGCGCCTGCGCGCTCTGTCTCCGCACTTTCGACACACCGCCCCCAGCCTCCTCCAGCCTGCCGGCGGCCGGGCTGGTTTTTAAGGGGAAGGCGGTTTGCCTGCCCTGCTCGCCCTGGAGCCCTCACCGGGCCGAGGCCTTCCCCGCAACCCGCCGAGGACGGCGGAGGCCGGACGGGGTTGTGGCGAATCTGCGGGACGCAGGGGGCAAAGGCGATCCGGGCGCTGCGTGCGGGGCGCGGCCCCGCCATTACCGGGAAGGAGGCGCCGCCTCGCCCGGCGCGGGGTTGGTGTTACCGGTGCTCCCGAGGCATCGTGCTGGCCGGGCTGTCTCCGCCCTAGACTCGCAGTCTCCAGCACCGGGCTCGTCCCCTTCACCCCGCGACAGCAAGGGGAAGGTCCGGGCGGGAAACTGCCCGCCTTCACGTTCCTGTCAGCACTTTCCACAGGGAGGCTAACCCGCTTCCCGCTCTTCCGCCGAGCCGGCTCCCCGCTGGGCAGCCCCGGTCGGTGTTAGCATACCCGCAGGGGCTCGGCCGGGAGGAGAGGCAGCGCTGGCTCCCGGTGGCGAATCTGCGGCGGCGAACAAGCAGGCGGGGAGGCGGGGGGAGCGCGGCCGGGGGAGGCCGTTGGCGCCTCGCGCCCGCTGCCGTTTGGCGCCTTTTTCCTCTCAGAGGGAGCGCGCGGCGGCGCCCTGAGGCGCTCTGGTTCCCAGGGCTGCTCGGGAGGCGTCTGGAAAAACGCTGCAGTGTAGTGCCCGGGCCCGAATAAATCTCCAAAAGGCAGGCGATAAAGTCAGGTGAACAGTCCTGGCAGCGCCGGGGAGCCCTTTGGCTGCGTAGCGTCCGCAGTGCCGAAACGATGGTTTGGGAATGGCATCTCTTCGAAAAGAGGTTGAGCGGGAGCGGGATGTGGCCCTCAGTCTGGTTGTGCTTACCGTGCTGTGAGGAAAGTGGGGAAGATGGTGGTGTGTCGATGCAAGGGCGTGCACAGAAGAAGGCCCAGAGGAAGCAGCTCAGCCTGCAGAGTGGCGTGAAGGAAGGCTGGTCGTATGGGCTGCAGGGAAGACCCTAGGTTACAAATCTGTGTAGGTTATAATTTTGAACCAAATCAGACTGACCAACTCAAACACTTAGCTGCTGAATCACAGAGGACTATGAATTGGAGAGTAGACTGGGAGCAGTGGGATTATCCAGAAAAATTTTTTGCAGAAAATTGTGAAGGTATCACACACGGAGGTAAAAAGCTGGCAAATATAAACCACGATACACCCTGTGGCTCTGAGTGTCTGAGAAAGATGAAGAATTTTAGACCTCAGCATTCAGCATAGGAGTCTTTTATATAGTGAAAATTGTTAAAAGTGACTGAATTCAGTATGAAAACTTAAAGTTTGGCATTGAAATGCTGTCATATGGCTAATAAGATAAATTTCTAGACATCCATAAAGGAGGATTTTGGTGGATCTGGTGAATGTGGCAGCTGAAGGAAAGCCAAACAGATGATACCTACCTAACCCAAAAGAGCGGTAGAAGGTGAAAAGAAGAAAAACTGAGTATGATACCAGGTTGTTGCAAGTTAGGCCCATTTCTTCTTGATGCCTACACTTTGTCTAGCCCAGTTTGCTTTCGTTCTTAAATAAGAATATGAACAAGTAAAGAGACAAGAACTCTGCCCTCATCTGCTTACAGTGTGCTATCTGTGGCCACAATAGAAATTTGTTGACAAGCAGCAGAATGATATGTGACTTCAATTTCATAATTAAAAGAAAGTAAGAATTGAAAAGATTCCTCAGTCAGCCAGCCAAATACGCCTTTTTAGTCTACCAGTTTCACCTGGGCAGAGTATTTTTAAAGAAAAGGTGAGAAAATACTTGTTAAGAGGTGAAAAAATAACCTGGTTTTCCCCTGGTTTTGACTGCTTTGTGCGTTCATCTCTAGTTTATTAATAACATGGTTTTGTTGATAGTGTTAGAATGCATTTAATGTTGATAACATTAAAGTAAATCCTAAATTTTTGCAGCTTATTGAAATATTATGGACTTCAAGTACCTTTACTGATACTCACTTGCCATGCTAATAGTTCTGAATTATTATATGTGTTTTCAAAGCCAGCAATGTATTTCTTACTTTCTTTTATGTTGTTTTTGTTTTTTTACTTTGCTATTTGCCTGATTTCCATGTTTTGATAGTGAAAGGTTTTGCCTGTGTACACTTTTTAACACACCGTATGACATAAGTAGTTTTACTGGTTTAATAGGATTGTTTACACTGCATTGTACTAACCAGGGGGCTCTAAATAGTTGGCTCTTATCCAACTGTTTTAATTAGCAACACTTTCATAAGCTTTGTAATGAGTATATATATTCATTGGAAAGTAGGTTGAGACAAACTCATTTTTACATCAGACGTTTGCAGGTATTAGATGCCACTAGCTCAGCTGGTCTGAATTTAATTAGCGCAGAAGTGAAGAATTCTTTGCCATATTTTCAAGCTTCAGTGTTATATTCTTAATTCAGCTTTAAAGTGACCTAAAATCAGGGTGAGATGTTATTGTGAATACTTCTTTTTTTCTATGCCCACATGGAGTTCACACTGATACTAGTGGAAGTTCAAGTAGTTGATGAACAAAAGAGTAAGATCTTTACATTTGAAGAGATGGAATTCATGAATAATACAAAAGATACACATGCACCGTACGGGGAGGAAACGTAGTTAAAACCAGGATGCACACTTGAACCAGGTCTAGAGTAGCAACAATTCTTAATGCAGCTAATGAAGTCAGGGTTGGGAAGTCGCACATGAAGAAAATAGCCTTGAACAGGCAAGAGTGGGCTGCCTGCAGAATGTCGTGTGTTAGCAAAAACAGCTATTAAACTGCAGTCTTTTTTTTTTTCTTAGAGCATCAGGTTTCATGATCATAAAACAGTATAGCTGGGTTTATGCCAGTTGTTTCAAACTTCAAACAGAAACTGTATATTTCATGAGCAGTTGAGTCCGGTGTTGAACAACAGCAAAGTCTGTGGGTAGAATAAATTTCTCATCACAGGACAGCTCAGGGTGTACTTGTGCTGTTGCTGGGGTCAGGGAGATGGCTTCAGAAACCATGAGGTCAGGCTGTTATATGGATGAAATAACATATAGGAAGAAGGTCAACATTTTTTTCTAGTTACGTAGTATCCCAGACAATGTTTACTATAGATACACAGTAATTTTTCTCTTCTAAAATAACATGGAGGTTGTATTGCAAGGCAAAGTCAGGTATGTGTTCCGTACTATGCTGGATGAGGTTTCTGTCATTAGGGAAACAAAAAAATCTAGAGTTACGCTAGAGAAGATAATACCCCAAGAAGTACCGTAGGTGAGAGAATAAGCCAAACACCCCCTGGTTAAAGAAAAAAAAGTCTCTGTGAGTAAGAGTATTCCATTATTGTTTACTGTAGAGATGGCAGTACCTTCCATGTATTTGTGTAGTAATTTTTATATGTCTATGCAAGCTCTTCCTGCATAAGGAAGTCTGCCTAAGCAGTTTTGAAGGTATGTGCGTTAAGCTATGTTTCTATTACATACTTGCTTGCTATTTATCTTTGCCTGTAAGCTTATCTTTTAGATTGTAAACTATGTATGCCAGATGCTGTATTCTGTTCTTTCGTGTGCGCTACTCAGAACAAGGGACTTTAGATCTAGACAGGGTTACTGAATTTACCAGAAAAAGAGTAATTTTTGTAGCAGGAGAACACTCACCTTACATGTTATGATAAAGATTCTTAGGGAATTTGTGTCTTTCTAATTGTAGAGGAGAGCTTAGAAAACACTTGGTTGCAGTGCTACAGATTTTCTTATCTACAACTTCTATTTTGTATTTGTTACTTCTTTCCTTTTAAGGTATACACATTAAAACTCACAAAATATGCATGGGCAAACTCAATTTTAATACTTTTTTTATTGTAGTACTATAATTTACTTTGGTAAATTCTTATCCCTGTTTAAAGTGCCTTAAAGCAATTAAAACTTAGTTTAAATTCAAGTATTGTAAAATGTACAGAGTATAAGCACAAAAAAAAGCTGCATAGTGAGAATACTAGAGCAGGCTAATACATTCAGGACGCCAAATACTCAAGTATTAACAACACCAGATCAGTATTAAGGTTAATGATAATTAGCCAGCTTCATACAGTAGATATAGAACTGTGGGCAATATAAATGCATTGTTCTTACCATTAACAAAAGATAGAAGCATAAATTAACACTGAAAGAATTTGTAGTATCGGGTTTTGTAACACATGCTCTAAGTAATAAGGTGAATATTGACACTTAAATTAATCTTTGACATGCTGCTGTGAATCCAGCAAATATGGTATGTGGCTTTCCTACATCCTGAGCCCCTGCAATCCCAGTGATTTTGGTGAGAGTTTCTGACATCCAAGCCTCTTTAAAATCCGCGTAAACCATCATTCTTATCTTAATAAAATTTTGTTTGAATTTTTGTTTGAAATTTGTCTCAACGTTATAAAGAAGTGTGTCTGAGTTTGTATTTCTGTTTTTTTTTGTGTACAGATGCAAGGTCATCTACTGTACTTTGTATCTGCCCATAGCTACTTTGAGTAGTAGTGGGGGATACTTAAGGGGTGTGGTAGAATTTTACTTTGAATATGTTGCCCTTACTTTGTCCATTTGATTTGAAGCTATAGTAGTTGTACCCTGGCATGATAGTGACTTGTTATGTGTACTAGATCAAGAGCATAACTTAGCTATAGTATTTGTCAGAAGAGGAATTTGTTGAAGGTATTTTAATTCACATTGTTACAATAAGCAAAATTAATTAAACCCCAGCATTAAAATGGTTGGCTGACTCCTTACATTTGAACAATTAAGGAGTATAATTTTACTTGCTATGGCTAAGAAAGTTGTAGCACAGATATGTGTGGACACGTAAAAAAATGATTGATTTTCAGTGGAAATTACTGCTTCAAAATCAGTGGAACAATATGGCTAAAATATTATTGGTTTGTA